GCGCAACCCCCCTAATCATGGTGTTAAAACTGAGACATGCCCTGTTGATGCTGATAAGGATGATAAAGATGACGAATAACTCCCTGATGATAATGCCTATCGTTGTAGCTCGGTGCTGCTGATAAACGACCTCTCCCCGTTGCTTGATACTGCTACTTGTATGTCGCGAAGACGAAGACAGTCCCAAACATTCCACTCCTTATCCCCCTCCACTCCTCCTCCCATCTCGTCGGACACACAGCGCTCCTCACCCTCTTGCTACTAGCCGACCTCCTCCACCAAATTGTGCAAGAAGAAGAGCACGAATGATTCCTTCCGATGCAAGACTCAGTAGAGAGCCTTACCCCGCCTCACACGGCATGCTAACCCGCAGCATCCCCGTGAGAGGCACCAGACAGTGAGATGGCACTACAAGTGCTTTCAAGTGTCAGGAGATAGAGAGTACGCCCTACAGCAGCAGTAGCAGCGCTGACTCCCTGCATCGTTGAGCACCTATCATAGTCACACCTCTATGCCCAGCGGCGCCCAACATCGCCGCGCGCTACCGCTCAACCACACCTGGCGTCGCACAGCGTCTGCCTGCTACTCCATCTCTCGTTGGTGAGGTTGTGACGGCGGGGCGCAGCGCCCCCGGACGCGCTGCGCCCCTGACGGCACTACCGGGCAGCCCCTCAGACGATTAGTAAGATTGGCTCCGCTATCCTGAGAAAAACTTTGAGGAAACTAGCTATTAGACGATTCGCTTCGTCCTTTGCCCCTGCGTCCAGGCCCGACGATCGTCCTGAAGTATTGTGGCTGCAAATTTCTATAGGGAACTTCCCCTGGCCTACTCTGCTTAGGCAGGGCTGACCACCTTCCAAGTCCTCAACGACGAGTCCACACGCCCCTCGTAGCAGTCCGTAGTGTTGAGGGTGCTGCCTATCGCAAGGCCGCAGCCTGAGCTCCGACGGAGCGGGCCCCTGGTGCAGATCTTGGTGATAGTGGCAAATATTCTAACAGGGCCTTGAAGGCCGACGGGGGAAAAGGACTCCGTGTTGACAACAACTTGAGCACTACGACCACTGCCCTTGTGCCCTCGCCCCACTCAGGCTTAGTACACCAATTTTCGGTTCCCTGCAACACACTCACACCCAACCCTCTTACCGCAAATCATGGGCTGGTCCCGCCGCCCAGGTTTTATTCCACCTTGTGGCTAAATCACCCACCGGCTTACATGCACATCGACTTCCTCAGCCCGCGTCTTAAGATGGTGGGACTAAAGATCTCCACCAGCATCCCGAACACACAAGGAACCCATAAATGTAGCGTCGCGCCTGAGTCAAAGAGCACTAGAGCGAAATATGACAATAAATAATACAACTATTTGGAAACCTTTGATTGTTCGAACACAACGAACGAGGAGAAAGAAATCGCTAATATCGTTCTGATGCCGTCGACGGCAAAACCAAAGGGGACAGTCCTACCGGGCCCTCAACCCCTAGGCTCCTCCTCACTGCTCCGGTACTCCTATGTTGCCATCGCTAGCCTCGATCCCTGAATCTCTTTGATGAAAGTCCGATACCGTAACCAATGGTGTTAGACCCCAAATTTGGGTCTAATTTTGACGGACACCTAAAATAACCCGTGCAACGCGCAAACCTACCAAAATGTTCTCAAAACCACATTGTTGTCGACGTCGCCCCCCACACGTACTCATAAATCACAAGCAAGCGCATCAATTAAGAAACACAATCTTTTTAATCCTAATTTTATCAGAAATAAAAATCTGGTCGGCGACCAACGCCGACTTTCACAATCATCAAAGGAAAACAGATCACGCGCGCGCGTAAATCTGCACGCCCACACACTGTCTACTCTAGTCAACCATTCAGTCAGCCTAACCCTCGGACGCAGCCGCGCCTCGCGCAATATACTTAAACTTTATACCAAACTTATTTTCTGTCGCTTACAAAAACCAGGGCGGATACCCTTGTAAGGGTATTCGCACCGACAACGGCGTGAACATAGAAGTACCAGGGAAAGGCCCAACAAAAAAAAAAAAAAAAAAAAAAAAAGAACTCTGGAAAAAGACTATGCGATGCAGATGCGAGGCTTGAGGCCTCGGTGAGCCCTAATGGGCTCTGTTTCCAGTAAGAACGACCACCCTAAATGAAGGCGGGCCTCAATCATGACGAGTGACCTACTTTTGGGTTTTCCACGCAACGGGGAAATTCAGGCAGTTGCGCAGTGCCAGTTGGTTGAGTGAGCCTAGACCTTGCCTGCCTATCTCAAATGTATCTGAGGCAGGCCCTAGGCTAGACACGGGGCATGGACTATACACAAGCCGCTGGTAGTTGGACACGGGTAACCGCCCCAAGCAATGTGCCTGATTTCCCTTGTATCGGGGCTCAGCCACTTGGGGCCTACCGGAAGCTTCTGGGCAGGGGGCCAGCGCAGCCAGGCAACACGCAGCAGGCATGTCATTTCCATATAGGAAAGTGCCTGTCTCCGCATTTGGCATAAGGGCACTTGCTACATGCTGCGCAAGCGCTGCTGCGATACTGGCAGGCAAGCGCCCACGAGCTCACGGGCGAGCAAGGTGCACGCAAGCAGGCATAGCCAAGCTGGCCTGCGAGATGCTGGATGGGGCACATGGTGGTCCTTGGGTGCATTTGGCATCTATGTGGGGGATCGAGGTTGTGAATGATGTGTGAGACATACCTGGTGCTTGAGGCGAACGACATTGGCCGAGATCTGCTCGTACTTCGGGAAGCTGTTGACGTCACCAGCGACATTGTAGATAGGCTAGATAGGATCTGCCATTCGTAGTCTGGGTGCCGAGCGCCAGATATGATGTCGACATTGGTTCATTGTTGATGATGACGAGACCATTTCAACATTGTCATGTGTGAGCTTTTGCTGTGCTCTTATTTTGGTGGAACTCGAATTGCAATTCTGCTTTTGGTTCGAGGTCATGACTATCTGGTTTCATGTGTATGATGCTACTTGGTTTCTGGAATTCGCTATCGCTCATTTTCCTTGCATTTTGGTATCAGAGTCGTGGTACGTTGTGCTAATCTGGTGCTTGTCTTCTGCCTATGCGGTACATGCATGCGGTCTGCTGGGTGAGCGGCCGTAGGAAGTGTCCAATGAGGAGAGCGAAGGCAAGCAGGCGACCCAGGTGGAGAGGGGCATCGCCAGGAAGGCTGTGAGGTGATATTGGGTGTTCACAGTGTGATGAGAACTATTCGATGTGTGATTGATGCTGAGGTGGAACAGCGGTGTAATGTTGGTTGTGCCGAAGCAATGATTGGTCATCACAATCATTGTCAGGTCATTTGGTGAGAATATATGTGGTTGGGGACAGCTATTTTGAGGTACGTTGCTCTTAACCTTATCTACCCTCTTCAACACTTCTTACTGTGAGGATGCGTGTTCTGTCTTGAGAGTCCTCTCATGTGAGGAGTCGAGTGCGCTCAACCTTGAGAGTCGGCATTGTTCACGTGGAGCATCTGGAAGGAGAGGACGGAGCTATCTGAAGAGCCCTGGACGAAGCACTGAGTCACGGTCACCATGCCAACCCACTGGGAGTAGAGCACGCATGCTTTGCTGCTTTGTCATTTGTCTGCCTGCTGCGTTGTAGATGGGTTATGAGGGGCAGGCCAGCCCTACAGGGGAGACAAGTACCGGATGCCTATAAATAAATATCGGCGGGGTTACCTTTCCATTGGCTGTGATCGTCGTCCTGTTTGTGACGTTAAATAATTCTTGAGGACTTCGGGGACCCTCCTTAAACGCCTCTTGATCAGCCAATCGGTCAGTGTAAGGCTCGCTGCACACGAGGGTAAACATGGTGCAGGGCTGGCCAGCTCAGCATTGACTCGGGGAACAGGGGTGGGCTGTGTGCACACCTTTAGACACGCACTCTATCTGGATCACTCAGGGACGCTGACGTCAAGTGACACTTAAGAAGAACTGAGGGAGGGGTAAATTTCAGGTGATAAGTTCGGGAACAACTCCACTCTGCCAACATTCATTCAAATGATTCTATTTTTATTTTGATTAGTTAGATGTACAACCATGGAGATCTGACAGACAACATAGGTAGAACTGTTTCTGCTCATTTGCTTTCTGTTTGCGAACTAGTCAAATAAAATAGTTTCGTTTATAGGAATCTGGACTTACCTGTTGGACCCAACTGTGTATACTCTGACATAGCCACCGATTAATAATTTTATTTATTTTACGTCGGTCTGAGCACTACGCTGCGGTAGGCAACCAAGTGAAACCTAGTGCAGACAGTGTACAGTGCAGTAGCTTATGAGCGACAGGGAGGTTCCTGACCCGGACGATAGGATCTTGCGACCGGCAAGACGCCCGTTGGTCCATGTAGCCTTAGGACCAGCGGGGGACCGTTTTCTGTTCCGCCAGCTTAGGGAGAGGCAAAAGCAGCAGCGGAGGGCTAGGGACGAAGAGGCAAGCAGAGCCTTCGCAAGCGAGGCAGCTACTTCAGCAGCCATGGCCACTGTTGTGCAACAAAGTTCCCAGGCCAGTAGTTCTGGGACGGTCGGGGCGACAGTCACACAAACCTTGAGTCAGTCCACTGGCGTTATGGCAAGCCAGCAGTTAGTGTTGACTCCCGAGGAGATCGCCATACAAAGAGCAAGTGCTCATGAGGCACAGCTACAACAGACGTTAGATGAGATACAGGCAGAAAAGGAGAGAATGATCAGAAGAAGGACTAGGATGTAGCGGAGACAAGTGGACATTAGAGAGTTAGAGGGGATGAACCTGACTAATATGGATGAAGATGTGAGGATCGTGAGGACAACCATGTTAGATGTAGTAGAGATGCAGGACTACCACAAGTCACTCTTACAGGACATCCAACGGAGCCTGGCCGTGCTGGTCGGGCGAGTTCAGGGTGCACCATCACCATCAGGGCCCGGTGCCTGCCCCGTGGTACAACCTCCTCCTTTTGTCCCACTGATGACTGGAGTATCCCCATTTCTAGTATCTCCAGCTTCGGTACAAGCCGCTTCCCTACTGGGTATACCTTTGACAGGTGGGTTAGCATCAGGTCCTAGTGTACAGGTTCCTATTCAGACAGTGTTCTCCCAACCTCCATTGCAAACTGCCGTCTCACAGCCGGCACAACCGCAGGGTACACAGCCCCTGCAGCAGCTAGTGCAGCAGCCTGCACCCCAGGGTCCACAGCCTGGTGTGGTGCAGGCACCCCGGTGGGTCCTCAAAACTGTCATTGCTTGGCCTAAACCCTTCTTAGGAGATAAGAGGGGTGAGGACCTTGACACATGGTTGAGGTCAGTGCCAGTCTACGTGAAGTGCAAGTTGACCTTGCCTCACGAGGAAGTGCTTGTGGCTGCCTCCTACCTGGAGGGGAGTGCAGCAAGGTGGTTAAGTGGGTATGTACAACTACAGGGATATGGTCATGATTTCCGCGCTTGGGCAGTCACCTAGAAATTGGATGACTTTCTCAAGCTGGTGGAGGAAAGGTGGCATGATCCATAGGAGGCTCAAAAGGCCACTGATGTGATCCTGACCTTGAGATCAAGAAAGTTCAGGTCAGTAAGGGATGCCACAAACGCTGTTGAGCGTCTGATCTGTGTTCCTGGAGTGCGTTATGACCCCCAGGTCTTGCTTACGACTTACTTGAGATGTCTTCCCATAGAACTCAGGAATCAGTTGGCAGGCGAAGCCATGATCACTGTACACAACTTTCCCTCGTTTAGCAAGAAGGCCCTTGATCTAGAGGCAAAGATCGGGCATGGGCACCAACCCACTACGGATGGGAGGAAGAAGGCACTGCCTCCTAACTGGAAAGCAAAGGGCCACATTATGTTCGTCGACAACGATGGTTCCACCATAGAGTTAGACGACGACTTCCAAGAGGGAGTAGGGTCAGAGTCAGCCAGCGCGGAAGCTTCAAGGGGTGGAGCAGTCGCTGCCTCTGTGCAACAAAAAGGTAAGGTGACCGATAGACACCGCAGAGGCTTCCGATCTAGGAGTCAAGTAGACCCCAATGCTCCTCCATGGGAGAAAGCGGGTCTTACTGAGGACGTGTGGAGAGACCATTACTCCCGACAGACTTGTATCCGTTGTGGCCAATATGGCCATAACCAATTCAAGTGTCGAAACAAGAAGGTAACAGAAAAGATCCCGCCTACGATGGGGCAGGCGTCCGTCTCCTCCGCTTCCCTGGGTAGCAATGTTGCCAGCAGTTCTGACACAACTTCGGGAAATACGTCGGCCCAATAGGAATTGTAGTTGTTCCTGCTAGGGTCGAGGTGGTGGACACACCCTCACCATCCCGAGAGATGGCCCAGGCTATTGACTCCGTTGTCGTTGCGCAAACACATTCGGACCAATCGATCCTTTGTTCGATGAATGTGTTTGAGTCCTTAGAGGAGCTAGAGGAGGAGTGGTCTAGATCGGACCCGCTAGCTTCTTGGACGACCATGGCTAAAGCTCCTAAGGGTGAGTTGTTCATCAACGAGGTAGATATAGGCGGCCGCAAGGCCGGGGCCTTTTACGATACTTGCTCCACGAGGAACTTTATCAGTCGCGTGTGCGTTGAGAGGCTGCGCCTACAGGGGAAGTGCAGCGCCTGAGTCAACCTGTGGAGTTGACCTGTGCCAACAAACAACGCATGGTAGTCAATGACTACCTTAAAGACATTGAGTGTCTTTTCCCGTACGCGAGAGGGGAACTGAGACATCGAGCCTCGTTCCTAGTCAGCGATGATCTCCCTCTGGGTATGTACTATCTTTCGGTTGCACAACCCCAATTTGACTGGGACCGAAAAGTGGTCAAACACACTTTGCCCGGAGGGGGGACCGCCAGATTACGTAAGTTTAAAGCTAGTAGTCTGATTGAGTCCTACGGATGCATGTGTGCGGCCACATTTTACAATTATTATAAGCAAAATACGGAGGAGGGTATGTACTTAGTTTACGTCTCTGCAGAGGATGAGCCGGTGGAAGTACCTCCAAAGATAGAGGGAGTGGTCGCTAAGTACCCTGATCTATTCGAAGAGCCGAAAGGGGTTGTTGAGAGGGACGTCGTCCATGCGATAGAGATTATTCCAGGGTCTAGTATTACGAAGGGTAGGATCTATCAGATGTCTCCAGTGGGGCTTGATGAGCTTTGCCGACAAATCAAGGATCTCATAGAGAAGGGTTGGATCCAGTCGAGTGTTTCCCCTTACGGATCTCGTGTCCTATTCGCACCCAAGAAGGGGGGCATGAATGTGCATTGACTATAGGGTCCTCAATGCCATCACAGTGAAAAACGCAGAGCCCCTACCGCGCATCGAGGACTTGTTGGACCGAGTGCAAGGGTGCCGGTACTTCAGTACGATAGATCTGAAGTCCGGGTACCATCAGATTGCAATCCGGCCCGAGGATCAACAGAAAACCGCTTTTCAGACGAGGTACGGTCTGTACGAGTTTGTGGTGATGCCTTTCGGCCTTTGCAATGCTCCTTTCAACACGCCATGAACCGGATCTTTTATGACTACTTGGACAAGTTTGCCATCGTGTACCTTGATGACATACTTATCTTTAGTAGGACTGTCGAGGAGCATGTTGGCCATCTAGACAAAGTGCTTAGTCTCCTTTGGCAGCACCAGTTCAAGATTAACCGGGAGAAGTGCGAGTTTGGCTGCACCCGGATCTTGTACCTGGGTCATGAGATTTCCTCGGAGGGATTGAAGCTCGATGACGCGAAGTCGGCCAACATTCGTGACTGACTGCGTCCTCATGTGACTGAGATGAGGTCCTTCTTAGGGATGACTGGCTACTACCGTAACTTTGTAAAGAACTATAGCATAGTGGCCGCCCCTTTGACGGACTTGACATGCCTTGACATCCCTTGGGAGTGGACAAACGGGTGTGAGGCTGCTTTCAGACATCTGAAGCACTCCTTAACACACCATGAGGTCTTGAAACTTCCTGATCCTCACAAAACATTTATAGTAACCACGGATGCCAGCCAATATTGGAATTGGTGTCGTGCTTGCGCAGCAAGAGGGGCCAAAGTTGAGGCCGGTCGAGTACATGTTCAAAAAGATGCCCTCTCAGAAGTTGGCTAAGTCCACCTATGAGAAGGAGCTCTATGTGATCTATAAGGTGCTAACCCACAGGAGGTACTGCCTCCTTGGGAGGTTCTTCTACGTCGGGACTTATCATCAGACCCTGAAGTGGATGAGAACCCAGCCGATGCTCTCCGATGCGCTGAAACGCTGGATTGAAGTCATTGAGCAGTATGACTTCAAACCCCAGTACATCAAAGGAGAGTATAACAAAGTTGCTGATGCGTTGTTGCATAGGCCGAACTTCCTAGGTGCGCTGATCACTGAGTTCGAGCTTGCGAACGATGTTACTCGGTCACTGGTGGAAGCCTATCGCGAGGATCCTTTTATGTCAAAGATCATACGCAGGCTCGAAGCGAAAGACAAAGTAACTTCTGACGAGTTTGTAATGGTCAATGGCCTGCTGTTCCTTGAGAAGGCCAGGAATAAACGTTTGTGAGTGCCTAATCGAGAGTCTTTGCGTAGTTTATTTTTAGGAGAGTGTCACAACGCCATCGGACATTTTGGCTATAAGAAGACTGCAGCCAACCTTCTGCACCAGTTCTGGTGGCCCAGAATGATGAGAGACGCCGAGCTGTACGTGGATACTTCTCAGGTATGTCAGAGGGACAAGCCACGTACACATACCCCTCTTGGGCTTCTCAAGCCCCTTCCGATACCGGGAAGGCCCGGCGAGAGCCTGTCCATGGACTTCATTGACACGCTGGTCACCAGCAAGAGCGGTATGCGATACATCTATGTCATTGTGGATAGGTTTAGCAAGTATGCTAGGTTAATCGCAATGCCCGAAACAGCCAAAACCGAGTTCGTGATTAAGCTGTTTAAAGAAAACTGGGTCAGGGATTTTGAACTGCCAAAGTCTATAGTTAGTAACCGGGATGTGCGATTTACCAGTGAATTGTGGAAAGCCGCAGCTGCAGAGCAGGGAACACAGCTGCAGATGACTTCTGGGAACCACCCAGAGGCAAACGGGTAAGCAGAGCAGCTGAACCACGTTGTACAACACCTGCTGAGGCACTATATCAAGCCTAACCAGGTGGACTGGGATGAGAAACTTGCTCTCATCGCCAGCCTGTACAAGGCTGTGCACAATGCAACAGGGGTAAGCCCTAACAGTCTGCTACTGACCTTCAAGCCTAGACTGCCCCTAGACTTTCTACTACCTGAGAACCAGCCAACTGCTGCATCAAGCACCTTAGAATTCACCTATCGATATGAACGCTTGATGCAGCAAGCTGTAGAACAGATGCATAAAGCGCAGACGACAATGATAGAGTCTAAGAACAAACATCGCCGCCCATCTACATTTCAGGTAGGGGATAGAGTCTGGGTCAAAGCCTCTGAACTGGGGCAGGAGCATGGGATCTCCCGCGAGCTCATGCCACAGTACTTCGGACCATGGGATGTTTTAGATGTTGTTGGGGATGATCCGGATGGGCCATCATATGTAATTCGGATCCCTGGTCACCTTCGCACCTACCCTGTTTTTCACGCCTCTAAGCTCGCGCCGTTCGAAGAAACTGATCAGTTTCCCACTCGTCGCTCAATGCTGCCCCCCAACCATGGATGGAGAAGTCAACATCGACGACATCGTGGATCACAAAGAAATGCCAGTTCCAAGACCAACAGGCAAGGGCCATCCTCCAAAGTCGAAGCTACAGTATCGCGTTCGGTTCAGACATCACACTGATCCAAAGGAGGACGGATGGTTTACACGGGAGGAAGCGCCTGGGGCGGTTACCCGTGTCCAACTGCCAGCGGCCTGTGTTCAGTCCATGCCCCGTGTCTGGCCCAGGGCCTGCCTCAGATACATTTGAGAAAGGCAGGCAGGGCCTCGTCTCACTCAACCAACTGGCGCTGCGCAACTGCCTGAATTTCCCAGTTGCGTGGAAAGCCCAAAAGTAGGCCTCTCGTCACAATTCAGGCCCGCCGTCACTTAGGATGGCCGTTCTTACTGGAAACAGGGCCCAGTAGGGCTCACCGAGGCCCCAAGCCTCGCATTCCCTCCTCCATACTTCGACAGTCCTCTGAGAAGTTCAGTCACTCAATCTGGCGCTTTCCTTTTTGTAGCAACTTCTCTTAATGAGCGACAACCTGTGGTCTACCAGTCCCACCGACGAACCAGTTCCCAAGTAGGTGTTACATATGAGAGACTGCGAACCCCTAGCCCGTACAACCTAAACCATGAGAACCACTACCAAGGATCGGTCTCCCCCACCCAGGAGTGTATATATGAATGTACCCTATAGGATTTGATATTATGACTGTAAGTGGAAGTGAGATACTCGAAGGCCTTTTTTTATTTTTATTTTTTTTTATGGCAAACATCTCTGGCAACCTGCTATTGGAGGTGATATGAGCATCCTCCAATAGCAAGCCCCAGTTTATAGATGGCTCCAATCTATTGGTGGGGAGCATCACCCGCTGGAAACTGGGTCCAGCATCCCACTGACAAGATCGGAGACAATTTACCTGGCGGAACAGCATTGATTGCCCTCTCATGAGGGGATTGACTGCCCGCCCAATTATCAGCCAGGTCACAGCATGTATGAAGATCTAGCCATGGGGAGGGTAACAAACTGTCCTCCAATCTACCCTAATCTTTTCACAATCATAACAGTGCATAGCAAACCCTAGGCCCCCTCCGTGCATAGGGCTGCTGCCCAGCTCCATGATTCTCATTTTCCGCCAGCGGAGATCGTCTGCCTACCCTCCCGTATCCTAAGCTATTCACCCGGCAAAGATTATTTACACGAAATCGTTTTTGTCAAATTTCTGGCAGAGGTTAGCAACATCTGCGACATATATCATTATATTTATTATTATTAATATCACGCGTCTGCCATGCATACTCTTCCCCTTGCCATTTCGCCAACCGGAGTTCTGCCCATCCCTTATTGATTATCCTATCTCCTCCCCCTATCCACCACCCAAACATCAGACCTTGCTCTCGCTCCTCTCCATCGTGCCCTCCACCCAGTGCCAACCACAAAATATAAGAGTCAGGACAGGCAACAGGGAGGGAGCAGGGGGAAACCATAGGTCAAAGAGGGAGCAGGGGGAAGCCCTAGGTCAAAGAGGGACGCCGACAGGTGATATTTGCACACAAGTGAAACAATCAAAACACATGCCAAACCCATCGAACCCGCCCCTCCCCACGGTCAATTGCCTGTGCCATCCCCATGATTGTACCACGCCGCAGCTCATTAGTATCAACTTCTGGGGGGGGATGGTATACCCTTATGCGATCAAAAAAATTCTTGTCGTCGTCGTCATAGTACAGTAAATCATTGCACATGATGTCATTGCCCGCATCAGACTGCTGGGTAGATGACGCATCAGTTGTAAATTTTTTTTTCAGAACAAGCGGGGGAACCGCATCACCTACCTCCGCCAAAGTGCCGTTGTCAAACAATGATGACGATGCCTTTTGATCTTCAGCGGGCCGTCGATAAGACTGTGAAACGAATGTCAACAAAACCTCCGGAGCAAGCGCCCGGATCGCTGCTCCCACATCTGTCAAATCTCCATTATTCACTCTGATTCTGAACACAAAGTGGAATAATTGGTGACATCACTGCTGTAGATGTTGTAATTGTCGCTATTGCTCTTGTTGCCACTGTTGATGTTGTTGATGTTGTTAATGTTGATGATGTTGTTAATGTTGTTGATGCTGTCCATGTCACGCTATCCTGGCCTTCAGATGAGAGCAACTCACCTGATGGACCGCCCACGTCTCCCCTTGCTCGAAGCCTGGCAAACATGTCTTTCACCTGCGTCAGCATCCCAGCACACTCGTGTAGGGCAGTCATCGGCTGTGCTCTGTCATTCACATCCGACTGTCGACGAGAGGTCTGCTCATACAGTTCCTCCTCCCACCCATCACAGATCGCCTCTCCCTCCAACGAGATGTAATCCGGTAGGTTGCCATATTCTTGACTCAGCAACGCGTGCATCTCCTCCAGCTGCTGTTTATACAAGGTCACAATGAACAGCGCAGAATCTGCCTGCATGGGCTGCAGGGTAGGAGGGGTTTCCCACAGCCCCCCATCAGACATGGTCTCCCATGTCCATCTCTGCCATCGTTGTTGATGTCCGAAGCTAAAACTGCTGCGCCGCAATCACTTTTTTTCAACAAATTCCAGCTGGCGCTGCCCTGTCCGCGCGTCGTGGGACACCCACGTCACCAACAGCAGCTGCCACGTGGCAAATGGGACGCCATGCGCGGCTGCCGGGCGCATGCACAGGCCTAGCGGCCGAGGAGCTCCCTCACTCAGGCACTAGTCTAACCGGCATACCGGGCCTTACCGGTCAGGCGGCGTCGGGGTGCTAGCGCTAGCGCAGCCTGCTGCCATTTATTTCTTATGTATGCCCTCAGGCAGCATATGGTATAAACAAGTACCCCTAAGGTCTACTAGCTCAGACCTAACCTGGACTTTCTGAAATGTTCTCCCAAAGGATTTTAAACTACCTTGATGTCCCTCTACAGTCCGAACCCCCATTCTGTGTACCGAAGACTTTGTGTCCTTTTTTTGCTGACCCAGATTCGAGTCTCTTCCCAACAGATTCCCCGAATTGCAGGTAAGTCCCTCTCCATAACTAAGAAGTTGGCTTGGACCCTCAAGCAGCCCGTGCCACATGGAAATCAGCACTCTGACGAGTTCCGAGCATCGTGGTCACACAGACACATCCATGCTTTACTGATGATACATAGAAGGCTAAACAAAATCACGTGTTCAAGGACAGTCTGAGAGCTCAGCGAACACAAACATCTGAGTCACCTGACACTGCAAATTGTCACTTGTCATTGCGCTTCTTGCTCCTTCACTCATCTCCTTTTCTCTCTCTCTCTCTCTCTCTCTCTCTCTCTCTCTCTCTCTCTCTCTCTCTCTCTCTCTCTCTCTCTCTCTCTCTCTCTCTCTCTCTNCTCTCTCTCTCTCTCTCTCTCTCTCTCTCTCTCTCTCTCTCTCTCTCTCTCTCTCTCTCTCTCTCTCTCCTCCATCTCTTCACTATCTCTCGTCTTTTGGTCCGAAGTTGAATGGCAGTTCATGTCTGGACTTACGATCAAACTTTCGGGAATGGACGCCAGTGAAAAATGACTTTGAAATTGGAGGACTCACGATGAGGAAACAGGAAAACCAAAATGGCCACCACCGATCCAGCTACCCCGTCCTCAAAAGGTAAAACTTCTTTTTGTTTTGCCTTCCTGGTGATGATCAAATTGATCCTCGAAAGCAGCGACATAACCCAGCTCGCCAAACAGAATGTCATATGCCATGCTCATCGTTAAACAATAGGTTATTATTTTGGCAAAGGCTTTCCTATTCCTGTCCTGCATAACCGACTTACCCTGCAATTCCGGGCCAAGAATATTGAGAAGTGCACCTGCAGCACACACCTGTCTCACACACACACACACACACACACACACACACACACACACACACACACACACACAAAATCAGTTTCATCATTTTCATGTATGTCTGTCTAATTTTGTGTGTCTTTCTTCCATTTTTTCCTGTCTTCCGAGTATTTTTTTGAATTTTTTTGTAGTACTTTTCGTGTGCCCTGCTGAGCACCAGCAGTGCCAAATAGTCGGCCATTCCTCGTTTGGAGTGCCTGCAACACTCTTAGGAGGGCTACTCAGTTTAGGATGTCTGTGTTTCCTATGGGTGACTGATGACGGATGTTCGCCTGAGTGACTCCCTGGCTCAACGGGTGATGGGAACCAACAGTCCGCGGGGTTCACTCGCGATGCCAGTAGGTCATGTGCCGCTTTGCTCCGTGTTGGATGTGTAGACTACCTCGTCTTCGCTCCACCGCTCCCTTGCTGCCCATCCCGCTTGCTTCGCAGGTCGTTCTTTGCAAGCTGCTGTGGTGTGGCTGTGCTGTTGGTGTTGCCTTGTGCTCCGCTGCCTTGCCACCCATCTGTATGCCATGCCTTCTGCATCCTGTGCTTGTGTGCGGTGTAGTTTGGCTGCCTTGTAGGTGTTGCCTTGTGCTTCACTGCGTGGTTGCCCTGCTGCCCGCCCGCTTGCCCTGTTGCCCCTTGCAGTTGCTTTGGCGTTGTGCAGTCGTGTTGCCTCGGCAGCATTGCCTTGTGATTCGCTGAGTTGCTGCCTGCTGCTATGTTCCACTTAGGGACAGTCTGCCTTCAATAAGGGTCAGATGGTTCATGACCCAAGCCATCAATACAGGGATTCTGCAGATTGTCGAGGGTTAAGCCTCCTGATGAGTTGGTGCAACTCGGATGAACCAATCTTGTTATCGTCAGCTTTTATTTTCTTTTCGCTACTGTGGTTTTCATTGTCAATGATTTCTTTCAATGTGGTTCTTGAACTTTGTGTCTTCTTCCTGCAGTTCCTTTGTGTTGCTTACTTGCCCACTGGCCTCCCGTGTGCCCAGCAGCCTGTTTCTTGCAACCGCTTAGTCTCGTCGCCTTGTCACCCCTTGCCTCATTGCTTTATCTTCCCTTCTGTTGGCTTTCTGTTGCCTTGTTCTTCCTTTTCCTTGCCCTCTGCCTTGTTGCTCTGGGTTGCTGTTTTTGGCGCACTGTCTTTTACCTTTTCCCTTACGGTCTTGTGGCCTAGTACCCTTAGGCTCTCGGCCTTACATCTTTGTAGGGTTGGTGGAAGACACAGGCCGCTGTATGCACATGTTGCTTTCTTGTTTGGGATGTGTGTGCCATCTATATTTACCATATGATGTGGACCACTTTATGTCCTGGTATGATTTGATAGCATATCTAAGATTCTAAGCCCATCTCGCTGCGATTCTTTATGTCCCAAAATACACAGAAAAACTCACACACACAAACACACACACAAAAGGGGCACCCCAAAGAAAGCCAAAGTAAACGTAGTCAAGAAAGGGGTACCCCAAAGCAAGCCAAAGTAAACATAGTCAAGAAAGAGATATAATGGATCTATTCTGCTCCATGTTGCTCGTTGACGAGGTCAAACTGTTTCATTGTTGGATTGGCTCATCTCAAGTGTGCGTCATTGTCTGCAGTAGAAGTAAAGCTGCTTCAATTTTGGATCTACTCATCTAGGTGGAACAGGGGTTGTTGTGGCGAAAATCCAAAATCCAAAACACACACACACACACACACACACACACACACACACACACACACACACACACACACACACACACACACACACACACACACACACACACACACACANCACACACACACACACACACACACACACACACACACACACACACACACACACACACACACACACACACACACACACACACACACACACACACACACCAGCATGTGCCATGAAGATTAGCTTGTGTGTATCCTGAATATAAGTCTGAAATGAACTCCTTCAAAAGGAGGAGAGGAAGAGGAGGAGAAAGAGAAAAAAAAAATTAAAAAAGAAGAAGAAGAAGAAGAAGAAGAAGAAGAAGAAGAAGAAGGAATATAATAATAATAATAATAATAATAATAATAATAATAATAATAATAATAATAATAATAATAATAATAATAATAATAAAATAATAATAAGAAGAAGAAAAAGAATAATATAAGAATAATAAGAATAAGAATAAGAATCCCCCGCAACACTAGTGGTGTCTGCTTGTATCAGCACCACTAGCGTACATCGGGGCTGTTCTCAAAAAACAAAAAACAAAAAAAGAATCCCAACCGTCAGCAGAAGCTCCCTTCCCTAAACCTGTTCATCAATATAGCTGTCACTCACTGGCCAAGGTTAACTACATAGGCGAGTCCTGCCTTTGATCAGTGCTCGGCACAGTTCAGGTGACCAGGAAATTGGTTGAAGAGTCCCCCTCTCTTTCATCCTCACATCCAAAAAGCAAGTGCTCACAGTCTGACATGGTGAGAGAGGTCATGGTTGCTGTGGTTCCGTTTGAGGTCTACACGAGATGCTGGACCCAGTTCCCAGCAGCTGTTGCTCCCCACCAATAGAGCAGAGGCATCAATTAGAGCAAGGCTACAGTTCCGGGAGTGCTCTTACCACTCTGGGAATGTTAACCTGTAACACAATGTTGTGGTTAAGGCAGCAGCAGCAGCAGCAGCAGCAGCAGCAGCAGCAGCAGGAGGAGGAGGAGGAGGAGGAGGAGGAGAAGAAGAAGAAGAAGAAGAAGAAGAAGGAGAAGAAGGAGAAGAAGAAGAGGAAGAAGAAGAAGAAGAAGAAGAAGAAGAAGAAGAAGAAGAAGACACTAGTGCATGGCATTATTTCCCTTCTTTCGGAGGGGGCATCCTTAGCATTGTTTCATACTTGCATTTCCATCAGGATCGAACTCATGATCTGTTTACTAATATGGTTGCATGCATGGTACCATCCAGCCACATGGGCCGGGTATGGCATCAGTTTCCTGGTGTTCAAGACTTGTGGTTTCAGTTGGCTAGTGGGGCCTGGCCACGGCGTTCCTCTGATGATCCTCCAAGAAAACATGAGTATTATTCTCTGTGCGCTTAAAAAGCAACGAGTCTATTATTTAACGAGTGAGTCTTTGATCCTATCTACTGTGAATTTCCGATTAGATCACTGCAGTTACCTGAGACAAGCCTTTGAGGCAGCTGAAATTCACAGGAGTTTTTTTGAAATTTTACTTCTGGACACGACAGGATTCTCGCTCGTTTTTTTTTTTTTTTTTTTTGAAAGGATGGGGCGGTTTAGCCTACTACTATGAGAAGAGCTGGGGAAATGGTTGGATTTGGTGGGCCGTATGGTGCAGTAACGGCAGTTGGCATCATATCACCAATTCTTTACGGACCCAGTACACCTGTCGACTAAGGGCATACTCACACCAGGACTTTCCTCGATGCATCTGACAGGAATTACAGACTGACCTGAATGCATCTGACGACAATTACGTCCAGAGCTCAGTCAAAAAGGTCCTACTGTGAGTATGCTCTCAGTTATATCTAGAAAGAGAGAGAAGAGAGATCATCTCCAACAATTTTAGATCCATTGACTCGCAGATGCACAGGTGTATGGGACACAATTGCTGACATATTCACACTAGG